CTGTAGTGCAACATGAACACAAGGTCTCAGTTCAGGCCATACTCATGGGTACCAAACTTGGCTATCAGCCTCTGCTCATTGACTCTGCGTTGTTGTCTATCCCGAAGTCTGCCTTGGAGGGCGTTTACCTGAAGATCTGAGGCCAAATGTCCTTGACAGCTGAAGTGTTCCCTGACTGGAGGGAACATTCCCGTCTGGTGATTGTTGCGCAGTGTCCATTCATCCATTGTCATAGTGTCTGCATGGTTTTGCTAAAGTACCATGCCTTGAGGCATCTTTACCTGCAACGTATGAGATAGACATAGTTGGCCGAGTCACATGAGTATCTGTCGTGCACGTAGAGCGTGGTGTTCCCACGTGTGATGGCAGTGTCCATGTCAAAGATCTGAAATATCTTGCAGAGGTTACCATGACAGGGTTGCGTAGTGTTATGGGTTGATGTTATCCTGAAGACTGGGTAGTTTGCTATGAACAATGGTTTGTATAAAGTTTGGCGGTTGCTTGAAGGCGAGCAGTGGAGGCATGGGGAAGATCTTGGCGAGGTGCTCATCATCATCAATAATATGTTGAAGGCTGCAAAAAACATGGGGTAGTTTCTCTGTTCCTGGGAAGTACTCGATGATGAAGGGCACCCTATCGGACGTATCCTGTGTCTGTCTTCTGAGGACGTCATTACGGTTTTCCCCTGTGGTATGTTGGAATTGGCAACCGATGAGTTGAGCATCGTATCCTGTTCCTATGAGGGAGTCCTTCAACACCTTCAGGTGTCTGTCTCATTCCTCCTCAACCATATGCATAGGGCTTCTCCGTAGGGGATGGCTGTTTTAATATGTTTTGGGTGGAAGCTAGAGAAGTGCAGCCTCATGAGGTTATCCGTAGGTTTGTATAGAGTACTGAGGTGTCCGTCTTTGATGGCGATGTGTGTGTCCAAGAATGAGACTGATTCTGAAGAGTAGTCCATGATAAGTCTGACTGTGGGCTGAAACTTGTTGATATTGCTATGTATTTGTTTCAGTGATTTCTTGCCATGAGTCCAAAGGAAGAAAATGTCATCAATGTACCTGGTGTATAGCATTGGTCGGAGGTTCTGTGCAGCAAAGAGGTCTTGTTTCAACCTGTGCATGAAAATGTTGGCATATTGGGGAGAAAATCTGGTCCCCATGGCTGTTCCATGTGTCTGAATGAAGAACTGGTTGTTGAAGAAGATGTTGTGGTCGAGGATGAAGCAGATGAGTTGTTAGATGGCATCTGGAAATTGGCAGTTGTTGGTATTGAGTACTGAGGCTGTTGCGGCAATGCCATCGTCATGGGCGATGCTGGTGTAGAGTGCCGAAACATCCATTGTGATGAGGAATGTTACCAGTTCGACTGGTCGGTGGGTGCTAAGTTTCTGTATGAAATCCATAGTGTCACGACAGAAGCTGGGAGTTCCCTGTACAATGGGATTTAAGATGCCCTTGACATAGCCAGAGAGGTTCTCACACAGGATCCTATTACCTGATACGATGGGATGTCCAGGTGTGTTGGCTTTGTGTATCTTTGGAAGGGAGTAGAAGTCCCCTATGCAGGAAGTACGTGGGATCAGAGTGCATAGGATTCTCGGAAGGACTGGACCAGTCTGTTCAGTTGATGGGTGTGTTCTTTGGTCAGATCAACAGGTAGTTGTCTGTAGTGTTCCTGGTTGTTCAGCTATCAGTACACTTTCTTGCAGTAGTCTATTCTATTCTGCATGACAAGGGCTCCTCCTTTATCAACGTGAATTGGTCTTAAGAGCACAGATGGCATTGCATTGTGCCTGGATGACATTTTGCACTACCTTTTGAGTGTGGCTGATAAATCTGGCATTCACGCATTCGCTAATGGCTTGAGCGTACCTGTCGAGCCCTGGGCAATGGCCTCCGATGGGGTCCAATTCGACTCCTTCTTTGCCCGCTCCCCCATGGATATCTCTAATCACATGTCAATATTGCGTTTTATAAATTCCTACTTTAGAAATAAAACCAGTCTGACTCCAAACTAAAACACAAATAGATTCTAAACAAGGTCTCATATCTAACATGCATTGTCTGACCTGAAATGTCACCTCTTCTTTACACTGATGAAACCTTTAGTTCTCCCAGGACCATGAGTTGAAAGGAATTTGGGGATTCACATATACATATTAATCAATTAAAACCTTCTAGCTGATTAAAAATTTTACAACCTCTTAGGTTTGTTTAGTACATCCTCATCAATGGTGTGAACCTTTGATCTTTTACTTACAAATTCTGTGTCTGATACCACCTCACTCTGAAGAAGGACTGAGGCTCTGAAAGCTTGTGTTTTCAAATAAACCTGTTGGGCTGTAACTTGGTGTAATGTGATTCCCGACTCTGTTCCTGACAGTATTGATAGGAGTGATCAATGCAAAGTCCTTGTTGTGATTGCAAACATGTCTTCACAGTGAGGTTACTCTCCATTGAATTGTAAGGCTTGACCACTGTGCTAAGTGGAACACACTTTAAACAGAGCTAGCATTCAAAACAGGGCATTTATGAGGAACTGTGGACCATCAGAAGCATCAGAATCCCCACTCCAAAACAATCTGCAGTCTCATAGCTTGATATCCCCCAGTTCATCATTGCAATCAAATCAGGAGACCAACCCTGGTTTAGTGAAGAATACAGGAGGACATGTCAGGAGCAGCACCAGGCATACCTAAAAATGGGGTGACAACCTAGTGAGACAATACCAGATGACTGCTTGTATGCCAAACAGAAGCAGCATGTAATAGATAGAGCTAAGCCTTTGAACCAACAGATCAGATCTAAGATCTAAGTGTTCTGCCACATGAATAACTCAACAACTAACAGGAGGAAGACACTCTAAAAATATCCCCGTGCTCAATAATGGAGGAGACTAGCACATCAGTGCAAAAGACAAAACCGAGGCATTTCCAACCATCTTCTGCCAGAACTGCCTCAGTTTTGTCTTTTTTTTTCAGAGATCCATCTCTGCCTTCTCCTGAGGTCTCCAGCATCACAGGTGCCAGTCTTCAGTTAATTTAATTCATTCCACATCACTATCAAGTTGAAGGTACCATATACTACAAAGTCTTTGGGCCCAGAAAACACACCAGCAATCTTACTGTAGCATTTTTATTATCCACTCATGGGTTGTGGATGTGATATATTGGTTAGTATTTATTGCCCCACCCAGTTGCCCTTGGGAAAGTAGTGGTGAACTGCCATCTTGAACCACTACAATTCATATGCTGTAGGTTGACCTACAATGCCCTTAAAGAGGGAAGAAACAATGATATATTTCCAAGTCAGGATGATGAGTGGCTTGGAGGGGAACTTGCAGGTGGTAGTGTTCCCATGTAACACATGCCCATGCCCTTACCCTTGTAGATTGAAATGGTCATGAGTTTGGAAAGTGCTGTCTCAGGATCTTTGGTGAGTTTCCTGCAGTGCATCTTGTAGACAGTACACACTGCAGCTACTGAGCATCAGTGGTGGAGGTAGGGAATGCTTGAGGATGCCATGGCAATTAAGCAGGCTACTTTGTCCTTTCAAATAAGACCTGCTTTGTCAAATAAGTGGATCTGCAGACCAGATCAGAAATCTTAAAATTCAGTCCATTAATAATGAACAAAAAGATGACTGTTCTTTTTTCAAAAAAAATCATTGTTTCATAAAACAGTCTGCAATGGCTGGGCAACTTGGAAAGGTAAATCATTTAAATCAAATGAAACATGACTGGTGAGAACAAACAGTCATCAACTTCAAGGTTACTGTTGTTTCTAAGTTTTGCATAGAGCTGCACTTTAAGATCTGATAACACCTGTTGAATTCTACCCATCACTTTACCGATGGTCGAGAGAAAACTGATGGGGTATAATTGGCCGGGTTGTATTTGTCCTGCTTTTTGCGTACAAGGCATACCTGGACAATTTTCCACACTGTCAGCTAGATGGCAGTGTTGTAGCTGTACTGGAACAGCTTGATATCAAGCCTCTTGAGTGTTGGAGCTGCACTCATCTAGGCAAGAGGGGAACGTTTCATTACATTCCTGACTTATGCCTTGTAGACGATGGACAGACTTTTAGAATTAGGAGGTCAATTATTCACTGCAGTATTCTTAGCCTCTGACCTGCTCCTGTAGCCACTGTATTTATTTGGCGTGTAGTTGAGTTTCTGGTCAATAGTAACCCCAAGGCTGTTGATAGTGGGGGATCAGTGATGGTAACACCATTGAATGTCAAGGACTAGTGTTTAAATTATCTCTTATTACAGCTCGTCATAGCCTGGCATTTGTGTGGCAAAAATGTTACTTGCCATTTGTCAGCCCAAACCTGTTGTATTTGAACATAGACCACTAAAGTAACTGAGGAGTCTCGAATGGTGCTGAACATTGGCAAACATCCCCTCAGTCCCTCAGAGATAGCAAGAAACGCAGATGCTGGAGTCAGAATCTCCATCTATTGTTTACTCTTACCCCTCCCCCCACCCCATACCTGCGTTAAAAAAAATCCTTCTCCCGGCTACAATCAGTTCTGAAGAAGGGTCAATGGACTTGAAACGTTAATTCTTATTTATCGTCATAGACGCTGCTAGACCTGCTAAGATTTTCTAACAATTTTTGTTTTTGTTTCTGTATGACTTCCAGACCTGCTAACTTTCTCCTGTACAAGTTGGTTGCAAGGCTGCCAGCAGAGCTGAAATCAGACTTCGCCGACAGAGGGCGTGTGGAGGGTGAACTGTTTATGTCATGATTTGTGGGGAGAGCGGATGCGGAATACTAAACGCGCATGCTCCTTACTGCACAGGCCGCTGCAATGTGTAAAAACCGAAAGAACTGTAAATCAGAAACAAAAATAGACATTACTGGAAAAGTTCAGCAGGTCTGGCTGCATCTGTGTTAACATCAGAGTTAACATTTCGGCTCTAGTGACCCTTCCTCAGAACTCCGTAGTGTTTAGTCCGCTCGGTTCTATCGACCCTATGAACTACAATTCCCGGCATCCCTCTAGGCAGCACCCACTCATTTCGATTGGATGGCGTGGCCGGAGGTTGTTGAGATCGTTTCCGCCGGACAGGTTCATGCGCAGTTATTGAGGAGAGGAGGAGGTGAGTGAGGGGTTTAGTGGAGGTTTAGCATGGCCGTCCTGGTTAGTTGGGGTTCAGCCAAGGTTCTGAGCCTGGCCTAGAGGAGAAATAGTGGATGTTTCGTCGGGGAGGGAGAGACATCAGGATTCGCAGCGTTGAAAAGTTTTTTTTAGGCGACGGCTTTCCTCTCCGTGAGGAGACGAGTAGGGTGGTATCCCGAATCGCTGCCAATTCTTTCCAAAATCGCCAAAGCCCTTTACCAGCTTCCCAGCGGCAGGAGCCCGGTTTCTTCCCCGAGGGAAGGGCAGCATTTACATATAGAGAACACACAAAAAAGTGAATCTTTCGAGTCGAATGTGACCCTGTCTTTCACCCGAAGAGTATTTCCAGCTTTCTTTTAATATTTTAAATTTCAGCTTTCTAGCATCTATGGTTTTTGTTTTTGCTTTTTTTTCTTTGTAGAAAAATTATCCAAATACCCAGAAAGGAAGTGGACCAAATCTCAAATCTCCCAGATTTGGGGGTAGGCACAATGTCATCTACCCATCCTGTTTTTTCTAATCAGCCCGTTCAGAGATGTTATTACACACGTCTGGAGCAGGCGGGACTTAAACCTAGTCACCCTATAATGACTGCCTGACAGCTGTTTAATGCAAGTTAATTTACCTTCTGAACAACTTTTGAGACGGCCTTCAGGGCCATTAGTTTCTGATAGGTTTTGAATACTACAACATTGAACAAGCAATAGATCACTGAAGAGAATTATGTAACATTTTAGATCTGAAGGTGAATAGAATACTTATGAATTCATTGTACATTCTACATTTTAACAATGTATTTCAGTATTTAAAGGTTGGAGTAATCATTGAGTTTTGAAGTTTGATTTTTGTCTTGTTAGAAGAAATAGGATTAACATATTGGTGGGAGTTTTTGTATAGTGGGGCAGGGAATTGCTATTACCCTGAGGATCAGGCTTGGAAGAAAATGAATAAACACTTCACCAAGAGATCACAAGGTGTAGAGCTGGACGAACACAGCAGGCCAAGCAGCATCATAGGAGCAGGAAAGCTGACGTTTCGGGCCTAGACCCTTCTTCAGAAATGGGGGAGGGGAAGGCGGTTCTGAAATAAATAGGGAGAGAGGGGGAGGCAGATAGAAGATGGATAGAGGAGAAGATAGGTGGAGAGGAGACAGACAGGTCAAAGAGGCGGGGATGGAGCCAGTAAAGGTGAGTGTAGGTGGGGAGATAGGTCAGTCCGGGGAGGATGGACAAGTCAAGGGGGTGGGATGAGGTTAGTAGGTAGGAGGTGGGGGTGGGGCTTGAGGTGGGAGGAGGGGATAGGTGGGAGGTAGGACAGGTTAGGGAGCCGGGGGCGAGCTGGGCTGGTTTTGGGATGCGGTGGGGGAGGGGAGATTTTGAAGCTTGTGAAATCCACCTTGATACCATTGGGCTGTAGAGTTCCCAAGCGGAATATGAGTTGCTGTTCCTGCAACCTTCGGGTGGCATCATTGTGGCACTGCAGGAGGCCCAGGATGGACATGTTGTCTGAGGAATGGGAGGGGGAGTTGAAATGGTTCGCAACTGGGAGGTGCAGTTGTTTAGTGCGAACCGAGCGTAGGTGTTCTGCAAAGCGGTCCCCAAGCCTCCGCTTGGTTTCCCCGATGTAGAGGAGGCCACAACGGGAACAGTGGATGCAGTATACCACATTAGCAGATGTACAGGTGAACTTCTGCTTGATGTGGAAAGTCTTCTTGGGGCCTGGGATGGGGGTGAGGGGGGAGGTGTAGGGGCAGGTGTAGCACTTCCTGCGGTTGCAGGGATAAGTGCCGAGTGTGGAGCGGACAAGGGAGTCACGGAGAGAGTGATCCCTCCGGAAAGCAGATAAGGGTGCGGAGGGAAAAATGTCTTGGGTGGTGGGGTCGGATTGCAGATGGTGGAAGTGTTGGAGGATGATGCGTTGGATCCGGAGGTTGGTGGGGTGGTACGTGAGGACGAGGGGGATCCTTTTTTGGTTGTTATTGCGGGGAGGGGGTGTGAGGGATGAATTGCGGGAAATGTGGGAGACACGTCGAGGGCGTTCTCGACTACTGGGGGGGGGGATGTTGCGGTCCTTGAAAAACGAGGACCTCAGATGTACGGAAGTGGAATGCCTCATCCTGGGAGCAGATGCGGCAGAGGCGAAGGAATTGGGAATAGGGGATGGCATTTTTGCAGGAATGTGGATGGGAGGAGGTGTATTCTAGGTAGCTGTGGGAGTCAGTGGGCTTGAAATGGATATCGGTTTCTCGGTGGTTGCCAGAGATGGAGACAGAGAGGTCCAGGAAGGAGAGAGAGGTATTAGAGATGGTCCAGGTGAACTTAAGGTTGGGGTGGAAAGTGTTGGTGAAGGGGATGAACTGTTCGAGCTCCTCGTGGGAGCACGAGGTGGCGCCGATCCAGTCATCAATGTAACGGAGGAAGAGGTGGGGTTTAGGACCAGTGTAGGTACGGAAGAGGGATTGTTCCACGTAACCTACGAAGAGGCAGGCATAGCTTGGGCCCATGTGGGTACCCATGGCCACCCCTCAGATTCTCCAGCATCTGCAGTTCCTACTATCTCTCTCAAACACTTCACCAATATTGCTGAAATTTGGTGGTTTAGTCTTTATTGCAAGTGGATCCACAGTTGTTTACTCCTGTAAATTTATATCCTGAAATGGAACCTAGGCCAACAGCAGAGCGTGTATACTGTAGATTTTTGGCAGGGGTTTGTTTGATTCTAATTTCTCTTAGGCCTTAATGGATTTATTCTATTAGCTCTGAGCTGATTTAAATTGAAAGGAACATGAAAGGAGCAGCATGCAAATCCATCAAGCACATATTACAACTTTTGATAAGCAATTCGTGGCTCTAGATACGTCTTTGTCCTTGTATGTTCTTACTTGCTGTATGCGGTCAGGGCAGTATTTTCTTCAAATGTTACATCCTGGATTAAACTTTCAACAAACTTCTTGGTTTTAAACCTTTGCCAGTGCTGATCTTCTCTGAATAAACCCTAAGCAGACTTACTTTGAAGTAACACATTTTAAGTTTGAAAAAGACTATAACATTATCAGTAGTTACATGGTAATACAGCACACATTGAATTTCTGTATCAGTGCAGTACTGGGTTTGCAGGCCATACGGTCCAGTGATTGATCAAATCAGACTGTCTGACTGTGTTTATGATGGCCAGAGTCCAGACTAGTCAGCCAGACCATTCTTATAAAATCCAGGACAACGCTTTCAGATGTGATTCTGACATTGGACAGAATTTGTTGAACAATCCAAGTACGCTGATGGTTGCACAGTGGCTTTCAAATAATCAGCCAAGTTTGTAATTTGCTCGTTTGTCCATGTTGGAAGCAAAATGTATTTTTATGTAGGGACCTGTTTTCTGCACGCAACAAATATATTCAAATATTGCAAATTATTTGATTTAACAAAGGCTTGGGGATCCTATAGTTGCCTACTGCTTTGTTTGTGACAGTGCTTCAGCCAATAAATCAACCTACCAACCAATCAGACCATTCTTTGTTATAAACTGTTAATATTTAAACAGTTTAAAGTTTGGCATTCTTGCATTTGTGCTGATGAATGCAAGACAGAAAGTTTCGCCAAAATGTATCTCTTTTCAGCAATATTCAATTTTATGAATCTTGATGGAAATCTTGTATAAAAGCTCCACTGGCTTTGTTCCTTAGGAGTATACGGGCAAAATGGTCCCTAGTAATAGGTTTTCTTTTTAAAAAGAATATTATGAAAAACTGAATTTACCCAATTTTACTTGCATTATTTGCAAAATAATATGAAGGACTTTGCAGATTTAAGCCTAACCCTAACCCTATACTTTACAGCTGAAGGATAGCAATTTCATTTATATAGTGCTTTTTGCATCCTCGGACTTCTACAAAGTGTTTCATAGCTAATGAAGAGCTTTAGAAGTGTTGCCATTGTTATAATATGTAAAAACGTGAAAGACACTTATTTATATCAAAGTTTGACAAACAAAAGATTCTCATTCCTGATCATTTTTTGCAACTCTCAGTCTAATTGTTTACCAGTAATCACTGATTAGATTTAAACATACAAGATGATATAGTGGCTAAGACTGGAGGCCAATATTAATAAAAGGGAATCTACCACAATGTGAGAATACAACGATGTCCATGGGGATTGCATTGAGACAGAATCCATGTGGAGAAACTTAAATGCTTTTGGTACAGTTCTTTTGTGTGCATTCTAAATAACCAATTGGGAAGCATTGGAGAGTTAAGATCTCTAAACAGTTTGAGAGATATATGACAACAACATTTAAAACACATTTGGGTAGGCATATGAATGGGAAATGTTAGGAGGGATATGGGCTAAGTGCAGGCAGGTGGGACTATTTTAGTTTGGGATTGTGGTCGGCTTGGACTGAAGGGTCTGTTTCCATGCTCTATGACTGTATAAAAGTGAGATAAATGATTGATTTTCAAGATGATGATCAAGTGATAAATGTTAGTCAGGTAATGCTTCCCTGTTCTTTGAATAGTCCCCTGTGACTGTGCATTCTTATATAAAAAAGCAGTCGGGATCACTGTTTAACATCTAATCTGAAAGAATGCAGCACAGAGCCAAGTTTGACGCCTCTATGTATTTTTCTCAAATCTGTTTGACTACTAATGAAAAGTATTTCTTCCTGTCTTTTTTTAACATTGGAAGGGAGAGCTGTGATGAGAACAGATAGTTTAAAATGTGCTGGTGTTCATAGCTTCAAAATTAAAATGTATGAGGAACATTTGTAAAAAGATTTCTATTAATGTAGTTCATTTTGGATTATGGCAACTTTCAAAGTCAGCTCCTCATCAAGCAAAATAAGTTTGAGTATGACTCCACTGAAACATCTTCCATACTGTGTATTTATGGTTCTATTTCTACACAGTTAAATATACATAATAATTATCTCAGTTGTGATAAGTTTTTTGTTTTCTTTTTGATTCAATGGATCAGAACTGTAAATGGATCGGGAATCAGAAGACACCAAACTTTCTGAGAGAGTGGGCACTGCTCTAAAAGTTTCAGATGGTGAAGGAGAGACACAGAAACCATTGTCAGGGCATTTAAGTTGTGAGTCAACTTCACACAGGCTAACACCTATGGAGCGTGAAACTTTAGGAGCCATTGGTAATGCTGAGAAGCAACGATCTGCTCACATTGTTGATGACGAAGAGACGACAGAAGAGCGCTTCTTTGAATGTAGAGAATCACTGGAGACTGATGGTTTTGTGGACACAGAAGATGATGTAACACATTTAGAGCTGGAGGATGATTCTGAAATAAAAGAAACCAAAAAGTTTGAGTTAGATGAAGAATATTTAAGAGAACTGGAAAAAGATATGCCTGAAGAAGAAAAAAAGGTAATACATGTGAATTGAGTTCATCAGATAATTTGTTTTGAATTTCAACCTGGTCTCCAGTTTTGTGAATATAGAGCACATTATTTTTATTTTATCATTTAATTTGCGTTACGGTATTTCTGTGCTAGTGTGGTTCGGGTTCTGAAATCCAGATATAAGTAAAGTTTTGTGAGGTGTCATTTTCCTATACAGTTTCCACTTGTCCATAACTACCGCTATATATTTCAATACATTATGCATTGGGCTGTGACAATGGCATGAAATTTGATGTCCGCATTAAACTAAAGGTAGTAGGTGCAGACCTCAAGGAAAAGTGACTCAGCACTTTAATACTGCTGTCTCACAGCTCCAGGGACCTGGGTTTGGTTCCACTTCAGGTGTATGTGTGGAGTTTGCATATTTTTCCTGTGCCTGCATGTGTTTCCTCCAGGTGTTCCAGTTTCCTCCCACAGTCCAAAGATGTGCAGGTTAGGTGGTTTGGCCATGGGAAATGCAGAGTTATAGGATCAGGTTCGGTCTGGTTGGGATTCTCTTTAAGGGTCAGTGATGACTCGATTGGCCAAATGGCCTGCTTCCATATTATAGGAATTCTATTCGACAAAAGCCTCAGAGGTCTAGTGAGCTTTATGATGAGATTGTAAAAATAGGACCTGAGGTAGACCATTTGGATCCTAGAGACTGCTCTACCATTCACTAAAATAATGTCTGATCCATTTGTGTTTCGAATTCCATATTCCCATCTACTCCTGTTAACTTTTGATTCCTCAGAGACAACCAGCGCTTGGAGTTATCATTCTAGTGAACTGACATTTGCACGTTTACATCCTTTCTTAAATAAGGAAACTAAAACTGAACAGATTTGTATTTGAGATGTGATCTTACCAATCCCATGTGTAACTAAAGTGTAACATCATTAATTTTATGTTCCATTTCTCTTATTGTAAAGGATAAAACATTTCTTTAGCTTTATTGTGCTTGTGGATTGTAGTGTTCTTCAGTATGGATTCCTGGTGTGGACCTGTGATCTGTCATCACACCAGTCACACGAAATAATTCCCAAAAGCAACAACGAGGAAGTAAACAGCACTAAAATCAAATCACCTATTGCTGTTTAAAACCTCAGTTACATCTTATTGAATAAAGGGTAATATTTTAATGGAGTGTATAATAGCAGTGTCAGAGGAGAAAAGGAAATTTGTTTCTACATAATTGAATTCTCTGGATGCTGGCTTGAATTGGAATGGGATGCCAGTCATTTGTGGCAGTGCACTCAATATGGACTTTGTTTCCTGTCTTAATCTGTAATTGTGCTAAGTGCCGACCTTGTAGTCAGATTCAGAGGGACAGTAATTGTGAGCTCTGATAAGTCAAAAGGAATAGAGGGTAGACAGTAGCGGAGTTGAGGCCACAAGTTAGCCACGATCTGATCACATGGTGAAGCGGGGTGGAAGGACTGATTGGTCTATAATTTATGTTTATAAAACCCCCTGCAAAATCTTGACCAGTCTGTCTGGCATCAGACTCATTTGACTGTTAAATCCACAAGTGCACACAAACCCATTATAAATATTCACAGTCCCCTTTCTAAAATTTTATATGACAAAATTCCAGTGGCCTTACCTAATTTGAAATCCTGTGGGAAAGCTGACATTTCCAAAGCCCCAAGATTTCAGAAGGTAACAGGCTTCAATCTTCCATCTGCACTTGTGTTTCAAACCTTCAGTTAAGCTGCAAATTATGGAATCTGTTCCACACATGCACAGTTCTGGAAGATCACAAAATATCCATTGCTACAAAATTTAAATTTACTTTTATGAATTAAATTTGTATTCAATACCTGTTAAACAATATCTCTTTAAGAGATTCTATGTTTTAATGCCACAATAATGTCCTTTCTCAATGATGCATTTTGTTTCAAGTATTTCTTCTTTAAAGCCATAAATGGTGGAATCATCCAATTCACTGTTCCATAAATTGATTCTAGTGCATCCTTTTGCTTTTGAAGGAATCCGAGATTGCCAGACTGCATTTTTAAATGTTGGCACTGATGTGGTTAACATTGGAGTAACTTATGATCTATTATTTGCAGGGCATCCAGTTGATAATGCCATTCCCTTTTATTGTGAATATTTATTTCTTTATTATTCACCTATTTTGTGCTTCCTACTCCAGCAAAAAAATGAGCCTATCTTGAAATCCAGGTACTTGACTGATCCATTTCATAGAAATACCTCTATCATTCAGTTTCTACTTACTTTAGTTCACTCCTACATCAAGCATGCTTGTTATTCTCACCTGTTTTGCGTTTGGAGTTATTTATCTTTTTCCTCTTTTCTCAGCTTGCCTCTTCCCAATGATCAAAGAATTGTGCATAATCACCATTTCTCTTGCTGCTAAAGTATATTAGAACCATGCTTTCCCAACAATGGGTGGAGAGTCCAATCGAATATGAAGGAAAACCAAAAAACACTTGAAACATGCAATAGGTTAATCTACTCCTGTAAAGAGAAGATATCATTAGCATTTTAGTATAATTCACAAGTGGAAAATAAAATGTACAAACGTTTCAATAGAATTGGTAAGGAGAGAGAGCAAGGGAGTGCTAGAAAAAGTACTGCTGTTTTCAATTGGGATGAGGTACAAATTAGTTTAGCTAACAAGTTAAACCATCCTCATATGGAATTCAAGTTATAACGATGTAAAGCTGAATTTTCAAATAGCAAAGACCAAGAGGCATGCCCTTTGAAAGATAAATAGTGAATTTTTGCGTAGGGAAGAGAACGATTGCTGCAGTAAGAGGTGTGGAATTAAAATTAAAGTGCTACAAAACAGAATATATTCAACAACTTTCAATAAGAGTACCTTTAACGTAAAACCTACCAAAGCACTTAACGGGCATTATACATCTGAATGTTACCTTGTGCCACATATGGCAATATCGAGGCAGATGACTAAATGCTTGGTAAGACTTAGGTTTAAATATGTGAAAGGAAAGAGTGAAGCAGGAAAATGAGAGAACTCCAGAGCTTAGGGTTCAGGCAAGTGAAGACATGGCTGTCAATGGTGATGCATTTAACCAAGCCCAAAATTAGAGGAATACGGATATCTCGGACAGTTGTAGAGCTGGAGGAGATTAATATTGTAGAGGAGTGAGATTAATGAGAGATTCAGAAAAAAATTGTAATTTTGAAATTGAAGTGTTGCTGAAGTGAAAACTAATGTAGGTAGTTGAGTGCTTGGGTGGAGTGATAGGTGAGCATGCTGCAGGTGGATATATGGGTAGTGGAAGTTTGGATGACCTCCGGTTAGTGCAGGGTAAAATGTGGAAGTATGTTGGAATAATCAAGTCTAGAGACAACAAAGGCATGGATGAGGGTTTTATGTGATCAGGTAGTGGTGGAATTGAGCAATGACACAGAGTTAGAAATAGGCGGTCTCTAGTAAGGGTGTAGAACTGTGTTCGCTCATCTTGATTAGGTGTAGCAAAGATCGTTGGTTATTAAAGTCATGTTTAGACCAGAAGATTTCAGGTTCAGCTGCATCAAAATGGTCCAGTGAAACGAAATCTCTATCATATACGGAGAAATCATACCAAAATTTTATTTTTCTTCTGCTTTTTAAAGTTTGGTAAAATCTTTAAGAATTTGAATGTATTAGGTTGAGAAAACAAAACAACAATTGTTGGGGAAATATATTGCTGTTCCTTCTGTGTTATTTGGGCAAATCCTTAAATTCTCTCCGTCTTGGCATTGTGGGTATACTTGCAGCATGTGGACTGCAGCATTTCTGGAAGGCAGTTCACCAGCATCATGAGGGCACCAAGGGATGGGCAGTAAATGCTGCCTAAGCCAGTGATGGCCACGTCACACAAATTAATTTTTTAAAAAGTTGTAGTATACTAAATTTGGAATCTCTAGCCCACTATTTTGAAGACTAACAAATGAGCTGCTCCCAGATGATTGCTATTGGGCTAAATGTACAATATTTGTCCACTAGTCAAATAATTCTAAAACTTTGTGTTGCATAATGTAAGGCTGCTGGTTTTGGAGGATTGAGTGAACTGAAAACATAGTCAATTTGATATACAACACCTTTTACAGATATTTTTAATCAACCTTAGAATTTGAACTCAGGCCTACGGAGAGTCCCCAGATGTAAGACCTTTTAGTTGTCAGTCTGTCACTGAACATTTGTTGACAACAAAATTTAGAAGATGTCTAAGTTCTGGTATGTGAAGTACAGAATGGAGAACTGAAGTCTGTAATGGGTTTTTTGTTTATGCAACAGTGATTACCATGAACAAAATATATGACAGTACTAGAATTCAAAACCTTTAAACCTGTAAGGATATTCAAAAATGTAGGTTGGTGGTGGTATAGGACCTGAAGGCGTGTGTGTGTGTGTGTGTGTATATATATATGTATATATGTATAGAATTGAACACTTTTCACGTTACGGCATTGTGCTTGGAAATGCTGCACTTTATTTTCATACCCTGGATTTTTAGACTCTCACCAACATTCTGTTTTGCAGCGAAGGCAAGAGGCGAGTCTAACATTGAAAGAAGTAGGAAATGGCCAGTTTAAAAAAGGAGGTAGGTTTTGTTTTCCGCCATGTTTTAGTCTCAAGTATATTGAGGTTAAACAACTATAATGGTCATTTAACTCAACATGGCCATGATTCAGAGAAATTTAAAATAGTTTCGTTCATTAATTGTTTATCGATTTAGTCATGTTACCTGTTAGTGTATTGATATTGCAACTGAAAGGGTTGTTGAGAGTAAAAATCAATATTTCCCTGATTTGTAGCTGAAACAGAATACCCTGTTTCCAAAAGTTTTCTCACTGCTGTTCCAAAGTGCTTTCTTTATCCCTGCGTTTGCTCCTGATAGCAATATTTGCATCTGGTACTCAGAAGCAGTAAGACATTTGGTCCTCCAAGCTGTTCTATGATTCAGTGAGTTCATGGCTAATCTGGTTGTGGACTCAACCCCACTTTTACTATCTGATCCTACATAACCTTTGCCTTGTCTCCATCAAAAATCAGCCTTAAATGCATTCAGTGACCCAGCCTCCACTGCCTTCTGGAGAAGAGAATTCCGCGTACTAAAAACTCTCTGGGACAATGCCTGTTATTCTTAAATTGCATCCCTAAGTTCTAGTCTCCCTGGCAAGAGAAAATAACCTCTTGGTATCCACCATTTAAAGTTTTTCAGCATCTTGTATGTTTCTATACGATTACCTCTCATCCTTCTAACTCCAGTGGATATAGACCCAACTATTTCTATGTACCTTCATAAGGTAAGCGTTCATTCCAGGAATAAATTGAGTGAATCTTCTCTGCTTTATTGAACTGATTTCAAAGCAATCATATCCCTTTTTCAAATAAGGAGACCAAAACAGTACAGAGTACACCAGATGATTTTTCACCATAGTTTTGAGCAGCAGCAGCAAAACTTCTCTAATTTTTTTTATTCCATTTTACTTGGTCATACCTATTGGGGTAGTGAATTGATGTAACACTGCTATCCATAGAGTCAGCCAAAAGTTAAAAATTTAATCAAAGTATGAAAAGTGTCCAATTTACCGTTTGGATAAAACCAGCTTAACGGAAAATATGGACCAGATTTCTGTAATTAACAAAAACAACTAATTATTGCAAATAAATATGTTCCAATCACAGGTAGACAACTATGAACTGTTGACATATAATTCTACTAGTTAAAACTCTAACTACAGAATCCCTACAATGTGGAAGTAGGTTATTAGGCCCATCAAGTCCATACCGACCCTCTGAAGAGCATCCCACCCAGACCAAGCCCCTATCCAGTACCTGTAACCCTGCATATCCCATGGCTAATCAACCTAACCTACACATCCCTGGATGCTTTGGGCAATTTCCCATGGCCAATTCACCTAACCTGCACAGCTTTGGACTCATGGAAGGAAATCAAAGTACCTGGAGGAAACCCATGCAAACACAGGCAGAATGTGTAAATTTCACACAGATGTCACCTGAGGGTTGAATTGAACCCAGGTCCCTGGCGCTGTGAGGCAGCAGTGCTAACTATTTAGCTGCCTAATCAACTTCTAAAGCCTCCTTACACACGAAGAGATAGAAACACAGGCAAAAACATTGGTATTATGGGTGGACTGAACAGAATACTGAAGAAACCGTTTTAAAAACTCCAACCCTCAGGATTTTAAGTAGTGTTCAGTTTGTTTCCTAAGTTCTTTAAGTCTCTTTTTTCCTTTAGGTTCCCACTTCATGGAGACACAGTTATAAATTATAAATCATAAATACGAATTGTAAAGTCTCTGACTTAATGGTTAAAAACAACAGCTTACAGCAACTGGTGGGAGAAAATGAACCTGTTTTCTTCAGGCTTTAGATATTTTACTGGAGGGAAAGAAATAGAACACCATCTGCCCTTTCAACAGATGAGAGGCTTCTGCCAGTACTGTTCACATCCACAACCTGTTAAGCCAGCCAGGAGCTAATCAGATCATTGTTGTCAGGCAGATGGTCTTTGGTGTTCATAACTGGTTGCAACTCCACAAACCAACCAGCAACCTGTTTCTGTGAAATCTTATGTGTACTCCCAAGAGTCAGGTCTTGTACAAGCATCTTCCCCCGTTGCTTGAACAAAGCAACAATGTAAACACCACACACAGTTTCAGTAACTAACTTTTTAAAAGTACAGTAATTCTTTCCTCAGTTTTTCATTCTAAAACAGTCCTTTTACCAATTCAGCCCAGATACAGTATTTACAACTTATAGATATTAAAACAGCACCTCATAAATGCTGCTAACATCTAGACTGCATTCAATTGTGTACAGTCACTAATGACTTTCAGTTGATTCTCAAGTTCAATATTTTTGTCACTGCCAAGATTTCTACCTCTGGCAGTGCTCCATTCTATCTTTACATGATCCTTATTCACACCGTTGCTGGAAAGTCTCAACCACAGCATCATTGCCTCTGAATTCAATTACTCCAATGTCTCTTTGCCTTCTAATACTCCCCTTCTTGGATTGCAACTTACAAACCACTTATGTTCTTGGAATCTTAACAACCGTATTTGGCTCTCTGTGTACTGGTATGGAAAGGTTAGAATGACTGCTGTTGATATTAGGATGATTGGAAATTGTCATTGCCTGGTTCTTGCATGGCATACATGTTACATAGCATGTACAAGTCCAAGCCTGAATGTTCAGATCTTGCTATGTGCAGTCACAGATGTGAGGATTTGCAAGTGGAATAAGCAAGCATCCCACTTCTGACCTTATGAAGGAGAGATTACTGGTGGAGCAGCTGAATGTGGATGTGTCTTAGTCGTGATCCTGAGAAATCACGCAGAGGTGTCCTCAGGCTGAGAGGATCAATGTTCCACAACCACAACCATTTTCCCTTTTGCAGGCTATCACTCCAACCATTAGAGAGTTTTCCCCAATACACATGGCATTGAATTTTGCTAGGTTTTTTGATGTCACATTCAAATGCTGTCAAGAGCAGTCATTCTAACCTTCACTTACTAGTACAAAGAGAGCCAAATAAGGTTTTGTAGTATCATCGAAATCTCTACCATCAGTACCAGGGTGGCGACCATAGATCAGAAATTTGACTACTTCAGCCTATGAATACCTGACTGCACAGATATAGGCTGGGAATTCTATAGCGAGTAACTCATTTCCTGACTCTCCAAAACTATCGACCGTGCGCAAGTCTGAAAAATATATTTCACTTGCCTAGCTTGGTGTGGCTACGTCAATCTCCAGAAACTCCAACCATCCAAAGCATATCAACCTATTTGATCTGCTTTCATCACCTTAAAGATTTTATTTGCCCATCATGGGTGCACAGTGACAGCAGTAGGTACTTCTACAAAATGCTCTTCAGCAATGCACCAAAGCTTCAGATGCTTGGAAATCCCATGTCCTATAAGTTCTTCTCAAGTCAGGTGGCATACTGATTTCAAAATACATTGGCAGTCCTTCACTATTGCTGTATTGGAATCTTGAAACTCCTTCCCCCAACAGCACTGTGGATAAATCTACACCATAGGAACTGCAGCAAATCAATAAAGTGACTCCCCACCACTACATGGGCAGTTAGAGTTGGGCATTAAATGCTGGCCTTGCCAATGATCATCATCATGTTAATTAATAAGGATACAAAATTTAATCCTTGTCATAATCTAAGCCCACACGTAAAATTTGCTTCCTGTAATCTCTTCAATTTTATTCAGCTCTGTGTTTTTGTATATCCCCTCTGTTCATTTGATTCTTACACTCTGGAAAGTTTTCTTTAAATACTTCTTTCTTACTTAGTCTTATCCCTTTTTGAAAATTTCCGAATATCAATCTTTTCAATCTGTCTTTCAAGTACCGTCAATAATGCTTCTCCTGCACTTTTCAGTTCCAATTATTACTCTTTGTAAAGAGGTTTCTGAAGTTTTATGTTCCATGCACTCTTATTATACAGGTAATATATAATGTAACTTTCTGAATTCAACCCCCAATTGAGAGTAAAAGTTTGCTCCTAAATTTTCCAAAGTATGAGGATTTGAAATAATAATGAAATCATTTTTTTTTCCATATACTGAATAAGCCAGTACTCTTTGTGAAGTGTAACATTTACGGTACACTCAGTTCCATATGTTCCGAGGTGGTTTTGGCAAGGTTTTCAAGAGGACATTTGGAGCAGTTCACGTGTGACTGGAAACAATTCCAGTGTTGCAGTTGAAGACCGAGAGGATGTTGTGGGAGAGTGGCAGTTAGCTGAACTGTAGGGACAGCAGCTGAACTGCACAGATTCTATGTAGGGAGATTCAGGAGTCTGGCTCTGTGCGTTTAGAATTAACTCAGCAAAATGATTTAGGAACTAAAGGCAGCTAACAGTTGGAGTCGGGACTTAGAAGTCCTAGGGAGCTGTGAAAGGGGAATGGTTGCTTACTGTATGTTGGGGAATGCTGTGAGGGTTTGAGAGAGGCCTGCAATCATTAATGCATCATTGCAGCCTAGAGAGTGAGGAGTTGAAAAGCTCGAGTAGTGTTTGCCTGAAGTAGCTAAGCAGAATTGGATCTTGAAGGCAGTGCACAGAGAGTATGGGAAGCTACCTTGGGCAGAGCTGACTTAGTGAAGCTAACTGATGAAGAGCTAGAAATTTTTTTTTTATTGAAATGCAGTTTGAGTCCAGGGGAGCAGGAGGGAAATCAACCAGGACAGGAGCTGCTGTTGAGGCAGTCAATGATAGAGTATTTCTTGAGAGAGGGTTTCAAGGCCAGATTGCAAAAATGATGAATTGTAATCCGTTATGAAGTTCAGCGAAATTTGATGACCCACCATATCTTTAATGTCTGAAAAGTTAAAAAATAAATTGTGGGATCTGTCTTGGTTGCATTTGATATTAGATGTGTTCTGTGGGAGTGAGAGTTCACAATATATCACCCAGGTTTACTACATGTTCTTTTCTCAGTGACAAAAATATGTTGTATATGTATTTGGAATATGTTATTGTTCTGACTTTTAAAGTATTGTTTGTCCAAAATGCTTTATTCTCTTTTGTAAGACCCCTGAATCTCAAGTTCTTCTGTCTACTCTAAACAGAAATGTTACTGGTATCTGAGACAACAAGGTGCAGGGCTGGATGAACACAGCAGGCCAAGCAGCATCACAGGAGCAGAGAGGCTGACGTTTCGGGCCTAGACCCTTCATCTAGGCCCGAAACGTCAGCCT